ATGACAATCCTTAAGAGGGAGAGGTATTGACCCCTGCGCATCTACTCTACGGGAGAAGATTGTTATCCTTGCCAGAGAAACCCCGAGAAGAAGATGATGAAACCGAAACTAGTTACAGAAGGAGGAATAAATATATTAATGAAACTCTACAGCATTTTTGGAAAAGGTGGCAAAGAGAATACTTGACGAATTTGAGGGAGAGTCATGATTGTAACGCCCAGGCAATCGGAAAAGCACCAAAGGTAGGTGATGTGGTGACGGTGTATGAAGAGGGAGTTAAGAGAAATGGCTGGAAGATGGCGGTAGTGGAGAGCCTCATCGTAGGAAAAGACAAAGAGGTAAGAGGGGCAAACGTACGTGTGATAACGAAGGGGAAGGCAGTTCATTTAAGTAGGCCTGTGCAAAATTTGTTTCCTATCGAGATTAGAACTGAGACATCCGAGATCTCAGATGTCCCCAAAGAACGCGTTACAGGACCACAAAGGCTCGACGTTCCTCGCCGTTCAGCAGCGTTGGATGCGGTCTGGAAGACCCGTGCGATGGTAAACATAACATATAGGCTACTCTTTAGGTCTCTTTTCTCTTTTCGTGGCCGTTAAATTGAAACCAGCGATCGTCTCCCAAGGGGAGTTAATAGTTAACTTGAGACGTAACTGTCGCGTCCGACGTGACAGACAATCAACCACTTGATACCAGCAATGTTTACCGTCTCTGATCGGATTCAAAATCCTTTCCAAAACGACTCATAAACACAGGAACACTCCAGGTAAATACATCCTATTATTTTATTAGCTAATACAGCGTAAATACTTAACAATTATTCTACGAGGGCACGTTGGATATGAGTTGGCTAATATAATCATCTCATATCCAACAAGCACGAGTGGAATAATTGTTTTATTGAAAACGCCCACAAAATCTCGTTGAATCTCCCCGACTTAATTTTGTTAGAACAAACCGGAAAAGACAAGGGACTTCCGCTATTCACATGTCACATGTCTATCAAAACTGTCAACGTGCGAACGGACTCGCCTGGACTGGATGAATGAAAAATCAAAACATTGTAGCGATGAACACTTTTAAAAACTCATCGGGATTCTAGGATTTTACACAGCAAGACGGCTAAAAAAACCTGGCAGAAGGTCGCTTGTTATGAAGTTGTTTCAAGCCACAAGCTGGTTTTGCTGAACCAGAAAAGAAGCTATACTGACGCCTCGATTGCTGTAGTGAATGGCTGCATAACCTGTATTTGTAGCTGGTTAGTTGTGATTTATATTCTTCATGTCAAATAAACAAGCCGCAGTTATCTATCGGCGAGTGACTCGGCGAGTGGCTTCGCGATCATTAAGAAACAACACTTGTCTCTTTTCGTAGCTGGTCAAGGTACTTTAGTTTCATGTATTTTCATGTGTTTTTCGATCAACTTTCAAACAAGCTCTTGTGGCTGTTTTGTTTGTTTGTTTGTTTGTTTTTTCCCGATGAAATTGCATTGTCTAGTATTCTAAGAAATAAATTAAAACGACTTGCTTCGGGCGCCATTCTATCCTTCGCGAAAAAAAATCTCAGCGAGCTTCCAATTTTAAACTGACGCGTACACCGACCATATATGCAGAGCATAGTATAATGGCTCATATACCATAATGGCTAAGCCAATCAAAACGCTAGAATGGCATTATCAAATGATTCAGTTCTTAATAAATCTAATTATTCTATTAGCTAATTCAGCGTTCGGGTTCCCTGTGAGAGCTCCATAAAATTCCTTATAATAAATGTATTGAGCTTTCCGGGATAGTTACAGTGCAAGCCCTGTGTGTCTTCTCATGTAACACTTTCACTAGGTTACATCACCGAGGTGTCTGTTTTCACACTTACAGTAACGGTCAGTATAAAACATGGACTGCGGACTGCGGACCGGGTATAAAACACGGACTAGGTATAAAATGCGGACTACGGACAACGTTGGTAAAAACTGTGCTAATTGGTTATAGGTTAAGGTAAAATAAGATCAAAAGATCGCTTAGTAGCACAACTCGTGAGTTAAAGTTATAAACTCTTAGAAATTCTTGGTGGATGTGTGCCGCCCGGTTCTCCAAATCCGGGCCTGACCAAAATGCTATTTTCTACCGCCATTTAGACCTGGTATCGGTCTCTAACATCCATGACAGGGGTCACAAACGCGATGTACATGTTAACATGTAAATAATGTCATCATAGCTCGGAATATATAACGTTGGATGATATATTTAATTTCGGTTATTCTTCATGTATAGGTGAGTACACCCCTCCCCCAATAAATAAAGCGTTTTTGCTTCGACTGCCCCTATATTGACCTTCGCGTCTGGGTTCTTCATTTCCTCATATCCCCAAAGCTTCGACATGGAATTGTGGCATCTTTGAGAATTCTCACTCTCACTAACACCAATACTATTTGTTTTGTTTGGTGCCTCTCAATTTCATATTTCCCATTCGTTTAAAACTTTCTCGAACAATCACGTCACGCAGTTTTTGATTTGTAATATCTCCTTGGTTTAGCTTTTCGGCAGTAGCATCGCGGCTTTTTTTTAAAGCAAACCAACAGTCGCTTTAAAGACAGCTGTTAAATCTGAAGCCATCGATACCACGGTGCGTACGCTGATTCAACAGTTTGTAAGGAGAGATTTCCCATGTATTCTTTATTTGTCTCGAATTTCATATCTAGCTTTTAAATGTTCGGTTTTAAGTTGTTCTAACCGTAATTTGCATTGAATTTTCATTGATATGTTGACTGAATAATTATTCAGGTTAGTCACGGAACAACTACGAGAACTTTTCTCCTGTTCAAATACCAACCGTTTGTAGTTTTTAACTTTGAAATTTTAAGGAATTCTGAGCAAAGGAAACTCAACTTCCTACACAGCTTTCTTTGTAAATTTTCTAAATTCACTTGCTTGACTGACAATTAATTTTGAGTCATTTAGTTTGGCATATGAATTTTAAAGCTGAATTTATCCAGATTTGTTTTCAGTTTTCAGCTGATTTTATTCAGCCTTCTTTCCATTTGTTTTGTGATGTTGTAATAAGTTGATCGGTTAGTATAAATAGAGCACTGTTATCCCTGTTTTTCGATTTACATTGCGGATTTACAATTTACATTTTGGATATGATGCACATGCCTGTATGATTCACGTCCACGAGCTGAAGATTAAACTGTTGAAGTCCAAGTTTGAGTGCTGTCCTGCTTTCCAGTTGTAGTAGATCCTAGAAGTCGTTCGGACTCTCTTTACGCATATTTCCCCGATTTGTGCTTGGAAGGGCAAAACCTATCGTCACAAGTTTACTATAAATTGAATTGTCTTTTAACTTCTCCTCTTTATAAAATTCAGAATTTCATTTTCAGTTGTTTTGAGCAGCGGCATAACCTTCCTTGCTCATCCGGTTTATATGCTTTCCTTCTCCACGCCGGCTTTGGGGAGAATAGACTGCGTGATCAGCCAAAGGAATCATGATTGTGTGTGAGGCAAGGAGCTGGGACCACTGTTCTAATCTAGTCCACTGTCTGTTTCTCTCAGTTTTACCTTTCTAAAGCTCTTTTTATATACACAGTCCGTAGTCCGCATTTTATATCTAGTTTGTGTTTTATACCCAGTCCGCAGTCCGTGGTCCTCGTTTTATACTGACCGCTTACAAAAATTCTTAGTGGAAACTAGTTGATTTGACAACATTTTTATTTTTTTATGCCTCGACGATCATGATTGATGTTCTTATAAACCATGTGGAGTAAGCCCACTTAAGTCACTGTGTGATAACAGTGACTTAAAAACTTCTGAGTATCGCATATATTATTGTAACGTTAAATTAACGACTATCAACACAGACGTCGCGTTACCAGCAACCGTTGAGACTTTGTATGAGAAAGAAAATACTGAGGTCTGCGAATGCTAAATATCATTATTCTTACTTATTTTTCTATAAAATAAATAAAAGAGATTACCTCTGATGTATTCCTGTGTTTTCTGGTATGAATTCATCGATTTAGTCGGTTTTCTTGGCTGTTATTGTTTGAACCCTGTCACTCTCTTCATAATACGAAGTAAAGGCAGCACAAAAAAACAGCCGGGGATCCGGTCGCAGATTTTTTCGACCAGAGGCAAACTTCTATGATTGCTGCACCGCAGTAAACGTTTCAAAGCGAAATATCTCCACGCATGTTGCTGGAAATGAACATTTCCTGGAGCCACTGGGTCCAAAATACCTTCTTTCTCCACACGCTGTGAAAAACGGCACCTGGACAAGGGGCGTTGACTCCGAGGTCAAATTTCCCTCGACCGAGGGTGGCTCAGTCAACAAAGAAAACCCCGCAACAAACGTTTCCTGTTGTTATTCAAATTTTATCGATTTTGAAGTATTTTGTTTATTGTTGTCATAATGATATCGATTTCACTTAAAACTGCATTTTGACAAACTTTATCTCATAGTCAATCACTGGTGAAAATTTTGTAGCGAATTAATAGCATTTTAATTTTTTTTAAATTATTTTAATGGCCTTATCATGAACGGATTTAAAATTATAGAGGGGGCCTCCGAAGGCCCCCTCAGTCGCAGGAAGCAAGAAATAAATAAATAAATCTCGCACTTAATAGATAAGCAACGGGCTATGAAGCCCTTCAACCCAAATATTTTGGAAACGATGCGCCTTTTCCTAGTAAATATAGCAGCCGAGCCATTCTTGGATGCATTTCTAGTTAATTTAGAAGACCTGAATTCCAATATTACTTGGAGAGCATGTTCCCTTATTACGCCTGCGTTTACGCTTAGGTGTTAATTAAGGTTAAGCATCACCGCTCTTAACTAACTCGTGGTCAGCCTGTGTAATTGTACTTTCTAGGATCGTATCATGCCTAGGAGACGATCGTTGACCCCAGGAAAAAAAAAGACTAAATTTTTAATATGAGAATCTATTTGTTTTGTTTAACTTACAAAAAATAGGCAACTTTGAAACAATATGCAACTTTGATGTTTCAATGTGCGGTTTCGTGCAAGGCAATGATGACGAGTTTGACTGGAGTCGACGCAAGGAAAGCACACCTTCCGACCTTACAGGACCTTCCTTTAATCACACCACTGGAAACTTGACCGGTGAGCTCTTAACTAATTCATCAGTACATCTAGCCAGTCCTACTATTAGCAACGAGAACTGTAATAACGTATAACAAATTTAACAGTCAGTTGGTCGGAATTTCTACTTCATTTTTAGCATGAAATCATCGCTAGTTTTAGTCTTGCAAATTTAATTACATGTCACTCTTTTCTACCCTTTTTTTGTTATTGTTGCTGTTGTTTTCTTATATTAAACTGCTCGTTTTTGTTTCATTTTTTGTTGCTTGTACGTTGCACAGGTGTATTAAATGTAGGCGTGGGTATCTAATTTCGACTGCCTCTTCGAATCCGTGCAACTACAAGGTTGCAGTTACTCTTTACATCCTGAGCTTTGTTGTCATTTGCCCTCTTATTCTACCATGAATAATACGTCTGCCTTCAAACAAAAAAATAAAACGAATAAAAGGAAACTTAGGAACTTACTAATAGGTACTTCAGATGATCATTCTACGTCATTTAAGCTGAACTAACGTTGTTAGAATACTGTTTTAAGTCAACTGGATACTTTTTCAGTGCCTTCTGGTCAATTTTTTTTCTCGTTGCCTTCCTTACATCTTTTCTTCCTTGAAGGTTATTATTACATGTGCATTTTTTAGAAATATTTAGTCCACAGGAGAGCTGGATGATATGACAAAATCGGGTCGTCCTCTACCGAAAAAGACTAAGTTGCTACTCTCTAACCATCTTCATCCCTATAAGGTTATTACATGTATATAGAAGCATCCAATCCAAGACGACCAGGTGATAACGCAAAATTGTACAGTCCTCAACTGGAATTTTTTGGGAATATGTGCCTTCAGTTCTATTACCATATGTCTGGTGCCACTACTGAAAGCCTGACTGTCACCGTAAGTGGCAACTTAGTGTTCTTTGCACGTGGCGATAAAGGAGACATGTGGCGTAAAGCCAGCGTAAATGTATCAGCTATCGAGGGATTGCATAGGGTAAGCCATGCGTTATTTTTGTGTCTCTTCTAACAACAACATTAACAACAACCGAATCTTTATTCTTATCAGCTCATTGCTTAACAATAAATTAGGATGATGAAAATATTGAAAGTAAAATTAGAATTTAAACTTTAATGACCCCATCAATGGTGGTAAAACGCTGTTCTCTAAGAGCGGTAATTGGGGAAGCCAACCGGGTTGGGAGCCATAAGCCACCAATAGCTCACTTTTTTTGTTAATTTAATTGCCATTAAAGTACAGCTGCGGGTCCGGGAATTTTTTAATAAAGGGTTCCGAACTTGTGCTCAACGTTGAAAGTATGTTACAACTCTTTACAACTGATAGTTTTCACCAATCCTGGCCATCATTTGCTGTTATTTAGTTAAATTTATATAAACTACTTAGATTGCTATCGGTGATCCTTAAGTGGTAGTAATTTCAGTTTTACTGAAAGCACCTTCAATAACAAGACTTTTCTGGTCTGAAGGGTGCGCAGGCTAGGTCCACCATCCAGAAGACGTCTTTCGGTTCTCGGGTCTATGTTCTCCGAATCTTACTTTAGCCATAACTTTCTGTACTTCGGTCTGTAATGAAAAACTGAAAAAGTCGACAAGACTGCATCCGTTATAATACTTCATCTTTACCATTAATTATAAATTAAGCGCACATGAAATATAAGTGATGTACCATTTGGCAACATTATTTAGTCATAGCAAGATTATTCTTTCTTACTCATAGTGGTGCAAGTAAGTCCGTAAATGTAGTGCAAAATATGATGCGCTTGGTGTTTCCAAGAGGATCTGTTTTGCTATTAGCCGACATTTCCTTATATCTATTGTTAAGTTTGTAGTTTCTTGACAAATTCAAAGATAATTTTTCACTAATTTCAAGACATTAATAACAACAGCGACTCTTCCGGACTGATTGCACCTTTGACAGGTAACATTTGAAGGCGTAGTGGGAAGCAGTTTCACTGGTGACATAGCAATTGACGACTTCTCCTTGACAGCAGGGTCATGTCCTTATGGTAAGTTTTTTGACTAAAGGGTGCACTGTCACCTATTTTGAAATTAAAAAAAAAGACGTCTTTGCAAATTTTGAGAGCGTGAAGGGGGGCCGGGGCACTTGATAAGCAAATAGACGAGATGTTACAGGGCTCTGTTTTCTTTTATTCTCCCCGCTGGTGACGGACCTTTTCAGTTGCTGCCTCACCTACGTCGACTGCAATTATTGGCGAACTAAAACGCCAAATTTCAGACATGTTTAGGTTAGCTGGCCAGTTGAAGTTCTCCATTTCCTGCAGTTTAACGTGGCAAGAAACAACAGACGTGCACCTTCGCCAATGATAAGTTAACATGAACAAATACAGTGAAACCTCTATTAAGCGGACCCCCAATTAAGCGGACACCCTGTATTAATAAGCGAACACTAAGTCGGGTCCCGAAATTAACGTCTTATATTTTCCTTTATAACGAACCCCTATTCAGCGGGCACCTCTATTACGCGGGCGCGGACACTAAAATAAATTGTATTTGAATAATTTCTATTAATTGTTTAAAACCTCTATTAAGCGGACACCGGACTGAATTGACAATAGTAGTAGTAGTATTGTATTGTAAAGTAGAGCTTATCCTCCTGAGTTACGTCCACTTTTTCCCACCTTTGAAGGTGCTTGCACTATAGACCTATACCCACTAACCTCGATATCTATCTCTTTCCAAGTCTCAGAAAGCATTATAAAATCAAAATTATTGATCATACCAACAAAATCCGCACTCTGTAATTTGTTACCCAGAAAGGATTTAGATAAAAGCCCATTTATGTTCCATGCAAAAAAGGACATCTTGCTTAAATGATTCAAGCAACCTACCATATCGATTAGGACTCAAGTTAAGACTTTTCCAATCTTTTTGTAAGCATAAGCACAAAAATAAATAAATAAAAATAATTAATTTTATGAAAGTAAAATAAAAGCAACAACAAGGGCTCCTAACCTAACTCGTAACCTCCCAACCCTAACCGTACCCAAACCTAAGCCTGACCCTAACCCTAACCCTAACTTTAAGTTAACCCTAACCCCAGCCCCAACTCGAGCTTTCCTTCCATAATTGCCACGAAAATCCTCCTCTTAATGGTCATGGGACTTGGAGGAAGTCAAAATGGCGGGAAAGCGAAAAATTGTCGAGTCCTGCGTCGAGTCCTGCGTCGAGTTCTGGCTCGAGTCCTGGCTCGAGTCCTGGCTCGATATATAGGCATCCTCATTGAAAGCTATTAAAACTTAAGCTTAAATGCAATCATTGACAACCTTTTCTGAAAAGTAGAAACTAGCAAGGGAAAATTCAATGAAAAACGGCAGAATCTAGATTCAGACGGCAAAATGGAAAATAAAACTACAAACAGAGCAAAAATGTCGAATAAACGGTGCATAAAAGCAAGATTGCAATACTTACAGCGTAGGTGATAAAGCTAGTGAAGCGACACACGAGCCACCTGTTTTGCTTTACTTTAGCGGTTTTCCTGGCTGACTTGGTTGATTCTCCCTTCAGATTTTTGTCTGAATAAATAAAATTCACTTTCCCCTAGCTAATGCTAATAATAGCGCAAGTTTTAAAAGAGGAATGGTTTAAAAATCACGGCTTTTGCTCATTCGCATACAACAAACAAACTTGTGAATGACTGCCAACGATTCCGCTCGGGTTAGCGGGCAAGATCGTAAAAATAGGTATCCATGGGGTACATGTGCAGGCTAGGAATAAGTTGTTGTCATTAACCTTGAGATTTTGAGAACTTGCTGTGCTGTAAATTTAGCAAAGGAAGATTTTGTCAGAATGAATACAGGGCCAGTTTGGGTGGTGCAATGAGAGCATAGGGCTTTGCTCTAAGTAAAATGAAAGTTCAAAATTTGGGGTACCCAGCACTAAAGATATGTACAGTGGTTGGTCAAAAAGGAGTTACTCGCCTGAGAAGAAAAGTTGGCTTGCGCACCTTTAGTAGTACATATGGCCGAACTGGGTCCTAACCAATCAGAGCGCGAGAAAGACAATAGGGGTATTGTTTTAGAGGGTCACGTGCCTCATTAGCATGAGATACGTCATCAATTTGTTCACGTGACCCATGTCGACCAATCAGCGAGCGGGATTCCGGGCATGGGGTAAAGAACACACGCATTCATAGGAAGGCACATACATGCGTGGAGGTAGGACGCATGCACAGTTCTGCCCAAGGCTTTTGCCCCGCGCAGTCACGTGAATGGGATCGTAGGCACATGCGCAGACCGCCAAAATACTCCCCAGGTCCCCGCATTCATATGAGCACATTTTCGCATAGACCTACTGCGCATGCGCAAACACTCAAAAGAATCCCCAGACCCCTCGCATCACCGGAAGTCAATGAAAAACACACTGTATTGAGGTCAAAATTCATATTTTTTTTGGTGATTTAATAAAAACAAATCTCGACAGTAGTCTAGGTTACAAGCGGGACGTAGGTGACGTCCTAGTGACGTCACGCCCATGAGTTTAATACATGAACATAATAAACGGTGTTTGCCTTTGGGCTGAGCGGGTCATGAGCGAGTAACAAGGCCATGAAATGTAGTGATTAAAGCCTGTCAGGGACCATGGTTTGATCTGGCAGTGATTGATGACATAGAATGAAACTAACAAGAAAAAATAAATAAATTGTTTAAATCCAAGAAGCAAACTGAATGACAAAAATCCGACCGTGGCTGCGAATAAGGCGGTGGTTTATTATCCAATGAGTCACTATGAGAAAAAAAATGAAAATCGACTTAATTACAAGCGGGACGTGTGTGACTTCCTAGTGGCGTCACGCCTTCGAATCGATGGATACAAAAAAGTTTTAATAAAGACCATTCTTGGCAAAAGTTGAATTGATAGACGGCCCAATGAGTGGATATGATAAAAGAAAAAAAATGACGGTCTGAAAATACGTAATAAGCTGGTCCATCCGTAGCGGGTGTTCATAATTCCTAACCTATACGTTCAAAAAATTCACATCCCCTACAGGGTTCACAAGGGGTCGACACATGACGCAAATGGATCCAACAATTTTTGCATACTAAGTATAATTGGCCTGTGAGGTTTCTTGTGGTGAACACATTGTTTTCCATCACCTGGGTAGTGGCTGAAAAAGGGAAGGGAGATAAATCGCTCATACCACGAAATGAGAATCTAAAAAAAAAGTGTTTTGTAAGAGCGGGATGGGTATCCCAAATCTTGTAACATCTCACACCAATAACAAGTCGCGGTACAAAAACTTAACACGGCGAAGATTTAAATAACATCGACAACAGAGTAATTGCAATGGGCGTGGAGAAGGAAAGGGGACCGCTGAACCATGGTACCATTGGAGGATAGATCCAAAACACCATTCGCTTGTGGTGCCGTGAACCCTGTGGGTGCTGAGAATGGAGTGCGAGTCTACAAAAAAATTAAATTTGTAATGCCATTAACAGGTAGGCTATGCGGTCTCTTATCCACTGGTTGCACTTTAGTTGGGAATGCGTACCTACAAATAATTGCCATTGCAAAACTGAATTGGATATTTGATGCTATGAATATGTAGTCTATGTTGCAAGGGGATGATTCATCTATGTTGTTTTCTCTTGGAATTCAAATCTGAAAAGCATGATGAAGGCGAACAATACATTGCACAGTGCTGAAATGAAGTCTATATTGAATGGGTCTGATCCATCCTCCATATTGTTTTAAGGTGAAATGAAATCCTAAAAGAAATAGCATCCCAGGCAGATCAATCGCAACCTTTTGAAGGAATCTATGGCAACGGTGTGCGTTCTGAAAAGCAAATGAGTTCCTAAAAAGAGGTGGAGAGACAAATCAGAATGGGAATGCTGGTGTGATACAATCCAATGTGCAACGGCCTGATCCATTGCGTGGGGTGACGCAATAAACAATGGGTGCCTAAAAAGCATTTAAAATATCCAAGTCAGGCTCAGGATGGTCAGGATTGGCCCGGAGAAAGGCATTGATCCGATAGGTCATGCGTAGGGGCCAATCGACCCAGTCCCGCTCTGTTGGGTGGCCTCCACGAACATAGGCTACGACATCATTCTCTGTCAACGAACATTCCCCGCTCCCGGAAATCAAGTCATCGAGCGTGAATCCATCCTTCACGCGTGCACAATGATTGCAGACGGCGCCGTGGGTAGGGTGGGCTACCCATTGAAAAATGTGACAGACGGGTTGGGCTTCCAGGGTGGTCAAGAAAAAAATCGACACGAACATTTTGGGATCCAAAAACGCGCCGCCCAATTCAATCTAGCTCGTCGAGGGCAAAGACAAAGGTGGATGGGCCACAGGACGTGCCGTAGAAAATCGAGATTGGGAAACACGTCTACAAATGGAAAAAAAGGGTATGAGGGAAGGAATGGACCCCAGACCGGGCGATAAAAAAAAGGGACACGACTTACCAGCCATTCTACGGCGATGGACTTCGTGATCCAGTTTTCTGGCAATGGGATGGTCCCACGGCAGTGTCTTGGCCAAATCTCGTATCTCCTCGAGGGTGCACCATCGGAACAGGGCGCTCACACAGTCTTTCCCCAGGGGAAGATGCCACAACGTCTTCAAAAGGTCAAATAGGACCGTGAGGGGCACGGAGGGCAGCACCAGCGCTTGCAAAGAGTTCACCGTGTTGAATAGCTGGACTGAACAGTGCGGAATGAGCTAAGACTAGTAGGGCCGCTTGTTTTACAGAGTCCACCCAGGGAGCTGATTGGTGGCGAGGCATCACGTGGGGATGACGTGGACGAAAGGACACTCTAGGGGGTACCCCCCATGGGTACACTTTTTTCGTCCAGGGAAAAAAGTCCTGGCGCGAGTGGGTGATTGGTGGAGGAATAAGGATTAATAAGGGGACGCGCAGCGGAGAGGGCACTTTCATGCTTGGCGTTGTCATCATGAACTACAAAGGGTTGGTGGATCCCCAGAACAAGCCGTTTGGCAACGTGTTGCCCTTGGAAGTGCAAATCAAGATCATGTTTTGGGTGGAGTGCGTGCTCA